AAGTTTTATTTATGGAACATGTATCAGATAAACCTTGATTTAAAGAAGGAGAGGATTAGTCCTAAACTTCCTTCTGTAGTCTATACATCATCCAGTATACACTTTACAGTGATGCCAGAACAGGATAAGTCATTATACATGGGACATTAATAAATGAGGAATAATGATGATGAAAAATTCAGGATGGGATGAAGGATAAAGAATAGACAATGAATGATGAAGAATAAAGGATGAAGGATGAAGAATGAAAAATGAAGATTGAAGAATGAAGGATAAAAGATGAAGGATGAACATTTACAGATTAATTCTGTAGGATAAAGGACGAAAGATGAAGGATGAAGAACTATGAAGGATAAAGTATGCACTATGCAGTATAAAGGATAAATTATGAACTATGAAGGCTGATATCTGTACATGAAGAACTATAAAGGATAAATTATGAACTATGAAGGCTGATATCTTTACATGAAGAACTATGAACGATAAAGTATTAACTATGAAGGCTGATATCTGTACATGAAGAACTATGAAGGATAAATTATGAACTATGAAGGCTGATATCTTTACATGAAGAACTATGAACGATAAAGTATTAACTATGAAGGCTGATATCTGTACATGAAGAACTATGAAGGATAAATTATAAACTATGAAGGCTGATATCTGTAAAGAACTATGAAGGATAAAGTATAAACTATGAAGGCTGATATCTGTACATGAAGAACCATAAAGTAGCATGAATGTAAACTTGAATATTGTATATTAAATCAACCCTGCAGGTTAAAGTGTAAATATTTTCCACAAATTATAAATTCACTTTCTATGGATTGCACCTTATATTAAAATTTACGAGATTGTAAATTATACATACGTTTAATTTTGCTTTGGGTTATTTGATTGATTTCATAATCATTGAAATACAAATAATCTCATTTAAAATGTTACTGATTCATGTTGTCTTTAATATAATTTTGTTGGATCAAAAATATTATAAGTATATTTACAAACATTGATAGGTAATCTACTTAATTAATCATTTCTTGAAATCTATCCTTAAAGAGGCTGTCGACATAATTTCAAATAAACAATTCATTCAAAGAGTTGCATGACCGATTCACAACGGTAACCTTGAATCTTTATCTGTTCAATAATGTGGAAGATATTTTCGTTATTATTAACATTGATATCTAACTCATACTTGTTCTTACAAAGCTATTAAGGGCACCCTTTTAAATTGCATAGATCATCACACATACATAATCCTATATATATACAATATACATAGATCATCACACATACATACTCCTATATATATACAATATACATAGATCATCACACATACATACTCCTATATACATACAATATACATAGATCATCACACATACATAATCCTATATATATACAATACACATAGATCATCAAACATACATACTCCTATATACAACAATATACATAGATCATCACACATACATACTCCTATATATATACAATATACATAGATCATCACACATACATACTCCTATATATATTCAATATACATAGATCATCCCACATACATACTCCTATATATACAATATACATTGATCATCAAACATACATACTCCTATATATACAATATACATAGATTATCAAACATACATACTCCTATATATACAATATACATTTATCATCACACATGCATTCTCCTATATATATACAATATACATTGATCATCACACATACATACTCCTATATATACAATATACATTGATCATCACACATACATACTCCTATATATATACAATATACATTGATCATCACACATACATACTCCTATATATACAATATACATTGATCATCACTCATACATATTCCTATATATATATATACAATATACATAGATCATCAAACATACATATTTCTATATATATAATATTCACAGATAATCCCACATAATTACTCACATACATATACAATATATCATACAATATACATGCATAAACTAATATCTTCATGTTAAACCCATCTTATCAGATACTTCCTCACTTTACAGCATATGGATAACACCATATTAAGATAGAACAACAGGGGTTAGAACTCTTTTATTTATTTGTGGTTGATAACAGCTCTTTTAGAACCTCTTTTGCTTTAAACAAGAAATCGCCAAAACTGCGATCAATTTACGAGTCATAAACCAATTTTTTAACTTTCCGGTAACATCCAATATTTATTATGGTTAAATATTCATTTTTTGTACATTTATTGTTCTCATTTTATTCAAAAATATAAACTTCAGATATTCGTATGAAACAAAATACAAAATAGGGTTCATTACATTTTCTTCAGTTCATTGTATTTTACAGATATTTCATTTATTATTTGTATTTTACAGATTATTCCTTTATTTATTATTTAGTAGTTGCTGCTAGGCATTATAGTAGTTCTGAGTTTTATAGGTAACATTCACGTCGATTTGATGGTGCTGTCAATATTCCAGAAAGCTATGACTTTCGATCCCAATTTCTCCTATTAAACATAATTGTTCAGCCTTCTTTCTTGAATATTTTTTGTCGGCATAAACGTTTTGAATAAAAAGTTTAAAACAAACAAACTGTAAGTTTAAAGATTGTTGAAATATAAACCAAAACGCGTATGATTTCAAATAGAAGAAGCCGAATGCTCCTAACTCTGGTTAGTCTGGGGTGCATTGGTTATACAGATATTTATTGTGATGTTGTTCTGACTTTAGATGTAATTCTGATTTTATATGTATTTCTAGGTTTACAGGCTAGTCTGATTTTATGGATATTTCTGGGTTTAGGTAAGTCTGGGCTTTTAACTATTTCTGGGATTAGGTAAGTCTGGGTTTTTAATTAGTTACTTGCTTTATAGGTAATTCTGAGCTTAAAGATATTTCTGTGTTTAAAGGTAATTCTGAGTTTTATTCATAGGTAGTTATGGTTTTACGAATATTTATTCCAACATCGTTTGATATACAATTATAAATGTTGGTTATTTCTCCAGTTGATTTTAACATTTAGATACTGGGATTTACCGGTAGTTCTGGGTTATACGTATAATACATTAAGGTTCATAAGCTCAAAAATGAGTTTAAACACGCAGTCGATATTTGTATGAATACTAATTATTATATTCTATCACGTCTTGTATACAAAGATGGACTTGGAGACGTGTACACGTCGTCTATACAAGAATGTACCTTGAAAAGTGTACTCGTCCCGTTTACAAGGATGGACCATGAGAGACGTGTACTATAGACCTATGTACAAGGACGGAGCTGGAGATAACACGTCCTGCATACAAGGATGGACATGGAGACGTGTACACGTCCTGAATACAATGATGGACTTAGAGACGTGTTCTCGCCCTGTTTACATGGCAAGTCTTGGAAACTTTTACTCGTCCTGTATACAAGGATGAACCTGGAGACGTTTACTCGTTCTGTATACAAGGAGATGGACCTGGAGACGTTTACTCGTTCTGTATGCAAGGATGGACCTGAAGACGTGCACTCGTCCGGTATACAAGGATGGACCTGGAGACGTGCACTCGTCCTGTATACTAGGATTGACCTGGAGACGTTTACTTGTTCTGTATGCAGTGTGGACCAGGAGACCTGTACTCACATCAACATCCTTCTCTTCATCCTGACACCTTATCCTTCCTAGGCTATCATTAAAGTGAAATTAAATTAAGTTAATTATTGGTATTATTATAATACGTCAATTATATAATATCTTAAACAAATCTTATTATAATACGTCAATTATATAATATCTTAAACAAATCTTATTATAATACGTCAATTATATAATATCTTAAACAAATCTTATATTTCAACTAAAGAAATAGTCAGTCTTCTCTGAAAGCCTTGATATAATATTTAAAGCCATTGAAAACAGTTTTGCGAATACACATAATTCATGTTAAGAATATTTAATCAACTTGCATTTACTTCATTTAATTTATTCATTCAATATATTGATGAAACAGTGATTGAGTGGAGGAATAGATAATAAACAACAGGGTTAAATCGAATGGGCCCAAGGCTGGGTCGAGGGTAGATGGATCGGTGCTATGGGTAAAATTACGGATATTCTATTTCCCCATGCATCAAGTGGAATCTTAGATTTGGAAATCAAAACATTTTATTTATTGGTTTTTGTTAGAAGGTTGGCTTCTATATATATAAAGTAGTAATCTTCAGCTGTTTGTTTGTTTCTTTGTATATCCGATCATTACTCAGCAACTCAGCAACCAATTTGCCTTAAATTTAGACTGAGGAACTCGATAGAACCACGGGAATGTCCTTTTGAATAGAATTGAATAGATTTGCTCTTTTAAAGTACATTTAGTTTTCAGGCAAAACTGGGCTCTTAAGCTAGTATATGTGCATAACTTAATTCATTTTAAAAACTAAGATTCAAGCTGGATTATAGAGGTTCATTTCATCATCGTTTTTTCCCTGAGTAAACGTGATTTTCAACGGAGAATTTTCGATCTAACGAAACCATTAACAGCCATGCCTAGTTAAAGTTTCAGTTTCAACTAGGAATTCTTCATAAATCATTCAAATTATTTTCAAAAGAAAAGTTTAGCTGAGAAAGTAAAATATTTGAACCGGAGATAACCCTGAGATTGAGATATTGTTGTGACTTAAACTTTCTACCCAAATATTGTTATTACATGATGTAAACTATCTAATCTAGGATCTGAGCATAATTTAGACAAACCTTAAACCCTCCTCCTTCATTCTTGGTGTCAACCCCTGGTCTCAGGTTCAATTACATTTTTGGAAATATTTTATCTTTTAACCTCATAAATCTCATGATTTTAACTCACGATAAAAATCTTTGATGAAATTAAGTAAATATCTTATTAATAAGTTATTATGTGAGTTTTTATCTATATTTCAATAAAATTTTAGGATATGCAGATTTATAGGAAATAAACTTCTTGATTATATATTTTGATTGCATATTGCTTACTCCTTGATATTACTAAAGGCTGTCCTTAAAGATCATACACTTAGATTGAGACTGAGCAGATGATCCAGCACTCTTCTTTGTAGCAGTTGGAAGTAGATTGTTCGGGATGTTATCACTTGGGCTTGGAGAAACTACAACAGAAATAGAGACGTTGTTGTTTTTCTTTGATGTTTTCCTCTGTTCAGCAGCATTTTTCCTCTTTTCCCGTAGTGCAGCTTTTTTCAATTTCGCAGCTGCAGCAGCCTTTTTCTTTTTCTGAACTAAAGCTGCTTTTCTAAGCCTGGCAGCAATCTTCTTCTGTTTGGCAGCAGCTTTTTTCCTTTCAGCAGCTGCAGCTTTCTTTTGTTTGGCTGCAGCGGCAGCAATTTTCTTCTTTTTCTGTATTTTAGCTTTTTTCTCCTTAGCTGCACTTGATAAAGATGTTTTAGTTTTCCTGATTGCAGCTTTCTTCTTTGCGGAAGGAGTTAGGATGCTGGAAACCTTATCGATAGCATCGGTAATAGATTCCATCAGCTTAGAGGCTCCAGTAGTTGTATTTTCAGAAGTAGAAGGCATTTTATACGTCTAATTTAGCACGAGGTTCTGAATGTTCTAGTATAGTTTTGCGGATTTTAGATATTAATTTCGCAGATTTTTCGATGTAAGATTTCCAGGTTTTCTTAACTATTTAAAAATAACGTTTTTGTTAATTATTTTTATAATTTAATATTGATTGTAGTATAAAGAGGTTTAGAAACATCAACTTAAACATTTAATTACTTTGCATAAACTTTACTTACATTCAGCCTTTTTATAATACATAATGCATAAAAAGAAATATTTAAGAAATAATAAACATGTTTTACCAGGGTAATATTTCCAAATAGTAAACCCTCGATGTTGTAGTTTTATCTGAAAAAGATCTTCCCAAACCATTTTAGTCGTATTAAATACATTCTTTCAGTTATATATCAGGGTGTATTCATGGTTTATGGGTTTATTACAATGGGTCGGGTTCTATGTATATTGCAGAAGACACAGCTATTATTCAATCCTGCATGGGGTGTCCCAAAATACTAGACTTTTAATGCTATGATTTTCAAGAATACTATTTATAGAAATATAAATGGCAAAAAGAAACAAAAGAAAGGTGAAATTCTTCTAAATGTTTAAATTTTACGCATAATATGAGATTTTATTAATCCATTAGTTTATAGTTTCTAGCGTGTTGGTTTAACTAAACCAAACTGTTTAAAGATAATGGTTTCTAATGGTTTCAGATTGAGGGGTTACAAGGAGAGTAGGAACCTTAGATGTAAACCACTAGATAGATATTATACACTATACATCATTAAACTTATCATAATTCCTTCCCACACTCATAACTAGAGACTCTACCTTGATAGTTTCAATTATAAAAAAAGGATCCATAAGATTTTTTAATCTCCAATAATTTCATTCTAACCGACAATTAGGGATTGAAAGGAATTGAGTCTTTGCCACAAACTCACATTTTCAGTTTCCTATATCTTTGCAACTTGATGGTGGAAGCCTTTGCTAAGATTATTTGATCTAACAGAATTCTTGGTTTTAAATATCAAAGGTCTACGATATAGGGTTGCAAAGATGAAGGAATTAGAAAATCAGAGTTTGTGGCAGAAACTCAGTTTCTTTATAAAATTCTCAGATTTCTTAAACACTTTTGTGAGCTTGATTCAGAAGTTGACCCGAATCGTAACAAAGGAATTGAGTCTTTTCAACAAACTCTGATTTTCTAATGCCTATATTTTTTCCATCTAATGCAAAGATATAGGCATTAGAAAATCATAGTTTGTGACAAAGACTCAATTCCTTTAACCGAATTCATAAATATTCAAGAAGGGTGTTTAGTATGTAAGAGTTTAATTGTTTAATTATAGGAGGAATAAAGGTCAAAACTTTTGAATCGTAAACTTTAGCGCTCAGACGATTTATTTCCCCCCTCAGCGGTTTAACCTTAGATGTGTGATATCTCCTTGGAGCCATCAGGAAATTACATCTTTCCCCGATTAAAGAAGTTAAATCTCCATTTAAAAGGTTCAGTCTCTACCTATCCTCATAGACCTATTGGAAATCATTTTTGCATCTTCGAAAAAGACACAAACATGACATTACAGAGTATTAATTAAGAAACAAAACTAATGTCGAAACCAGCATTCAGATTTGGAATAGGAAGACGACATTAAAGCAATCTTATATGTTCTTGATATTGTTATAAAGCAACTAGTTTTAACAGTAGCCTAAAATTAATCCTAATAAGTGAAATGGGTCTGTGTACTTTACACAATTGCTTTCTATCACGTTGATTGAACTATTAGAATCCTAACTTGAGTCTAACAGTCCTCTTCTTGTCACAGTTGCATGTGTCCGAATATAAGAAGTAAAATCTGATTCATTGTTATTCCTTTTTTTTAAAGAAACTCGAAATTCTAATTATTAGTTTGATTTTGATATTTAAAGTTAAAATACATAAAACATTTTTAAAACCATGAAGAAGATGATTTCGAAAAATCATCTAAAACCTATTCCTGTGAAAAAATCTATCTAGAGAAGAAATCCAAATGTCAAAGTCACGTAAATTAGTTTCCGTTTCCGACACGCAGTCTAACCACAGGTCCAAGCTTTCATCCATCACGGAGAAGAAGGTTTCAAGATGAACCTGACAGGACGTTTTGTTGGAACATATCATCATGGAAAGAATCCTGATTTATCGTATAGGTTCTACTCAATCTATTTATGCATGGAGTAACCATTAGACACAGGACAATCATTATAGTTTTTATTCTTCTTCGTCGATCAATTCCCTGATGTATGCACTCCGAACTAAAGATTCAACACTATCTGTTCGATTCAGTATGTGTCGGCCCAATTAAAAACAAACAATGAACCTTCCTTTTCAAACCTACAGTCATCCATAGTCATTGGGATATTACTGGATTCAGACGTGAAAGATATAACTGAAAAAAATACGAAAAAGATTTTGAGTATACAATTAGCTAAATCATTTTCTTCTTTGGATTTTATTGTAGACTCTTAAAATTGTATGAAACCCGTTTTTGAAAACAGTCTGAAAACGATTTTAAGTCAAATCTAATGAAGCCAGCTTTATGATTAATAAGTAGACTTAACAATTTATCATAATTAAAACGGACTGTTTAAAAACTAACATTGTTAAGAAAAAAATTCTTCCTTGACAAATTAAGTTTTCAAAAAAGAGGTACATTGTTCTAAATGTTCAATAATGGACACTGTTTTGATAATCCTTTCTGAGATTAGGAATTTCTACTATTTAGTTACGATCGTAACCGGATGAAACTAGTTGCTTTCCTCTAGTTTCAACTAAATTTGTCTAAAGATGAAGTTTTTTCTTTACACACTTTAACTTGCTGACTAAAATTATTTTTCTTTACTAAAATGCAATAAAAAGAGAAGACAATATTTTAGAAAATTATCTATATCATAAAGCTCTTCGCTCTTCTATGTCTTAAATCATGATTTAAGACCAAGCGCGGGTATTCGGCGGAGTAACTATGAGTAACCTGGGCAACGCAGGGCACTTCAGCTGGTAATATATAATTAACAAGACTCAACATGAAACGAATGACTAATTTTAATTAATTTGTTATCTCATGAACAGGTGGTAATGTTTAAATAAATATTTATAAACATTCTATTCACGCAACCTCGATATTGTATATAATTCAATTGATAAAGACAAGGACGGATTTATCTATATAATCTCCGCTAATATATATATGTCCGCTGTAGCAGGACAAACAGCTCCACCAGAGAAGTTGAGTCTGATCCCTACATCTTTAAACCCTAATGTCGTAGACCTTAGGTAATTCAAAGTATGAATTCTTTTAAATCAAATAGTCTAAGTTTGTAATATCAAAGAATTAAGCCATCATAATGAAAAGCTATATGGATTAGTCAATTTGAGTTTGTGGCAAAGACTCAATTCCTTTGCTAACGTTTTTTGAGGGAACACATGGGTACGCTTTGGGTGCCATAGCTAGACTCAAGAAAAAAAATGTCCAATGTTTTTAAATTCCACGAGCAATGTCGGGCCGGCATTTCAGCTAGTAATAGATTAAGTCATATTTCAGCCAACAGGTGGAAATCGTGAAATTGATTGTATTTTTACAGTTTATAATGTGTATATAAATATTTGTGTTAACTTTTAAGGCCTATAATATTTATTGAAGTTATGTTAAGGCCAGTTAGATTTATTGAAGTTATGAAATAAATACACAGTTTTATTTATTTTAACATGATTTTGCTCCAAGGAAAGAAAACGAAAATTGTTCATTATTTTCTAGATTCTAATTGTTCTTGTGCTCTATTGCATAGCTTGAGTCGGGTTGTTTTTATAAAAATAAGTAAGAAAGGATGAATCAAAGAATTTAAAAATCTTCATAAATCTCTGTTTAGCAACCATTTTACAAAAACTATATGAAAACCAGAGCACTTCCGCAATAAACAATAAATTCTTTTAAATCTATACAGGGATAAATTTGAAATAGGAAGACAACTTTCAGACATCAAATACACTCATATGATCTTGCTATAAAATCTTCCCATTTCATAGTTTTCTGGTAATCGTAGTATAAGATATAGAAGTTTACAAAGTACATGACATGGTCCGATATGATCCATATTCTATTACAGTTTTTTATAAATAATGTAAAGGAAAACTGAACAAAATCAAGCTAAACGCACTCTTGTAATTCTTCTAACATAAATATATATAAGATTAAATGTAAATAGATTTCACTAAGTAATTGAATGTAAAAGTCAGGGAGTAAGGAATAGAAGGGAGAGACAACTGACGCGGTTCGCCCTACCATATGATTATACATGCTTTGCAGACGGTACTCCATTTTATATCGAGCTGTTTGATTTTTTAGTAGGGCCCCACAGGAAAAATATGTATTGGCTCAATTTTCTTTCACCAGTTTCGCCAATACATATTTTTCCTGTAGGGCCCTACTAAAGAAACCAAACAGCTCGATTTAAAATTTTGTGGCAAAGACTCAATTCCTTTACACGATGTGTGATCGTTGAAATAAGTACATTAAAGATCTCGTGTTCTCACCGTACCCAACCTCTCAGTTTTCTCATCAAAGTTTTTAGTTAGAAGTTTTAAAAGATCTGAGTAAAAAGTGACAAGGAGATGGGTAGAAGGGGGTGGAGGCATGGCAATAAACTCTTAGAACTACATAGTTACCCGCAACGGATGATACTTCAGAGAGGACTGTGGGGAATTCATACTGTCTGTTTCCTTTTATTCATAATCCCCTTCAAATTTAAACTTGCTAATTCCTTTGAAAAATCACAAAATAAGAAATTTAAAAAAAATTCAAGGCAGAAGTTCTGACAGATTTAACAGATTCAGATCGTCTTTACAGTCTTATCCTTTGTGGGTAAACCTGTATATAAGAATGAAAAAGGGAATTCAGGCTGTGTTTCTGAAAATGTTCCTGGAGGAAGAATTAGAAAAGAAATCTTAGAATATTCTGCCGAGAAAGATGAAT